GGGCCGGGCTCTGAAAGAACTTTCCACTGTGTTCTTTTCCCCTTGCCCTGTGCCAGGTTGTGCCTGCCGGTCCTCTCGCTAGGGGGCTACCACCCCACATAGCACCTGGGGCCACCCGCACCTCTGTCCCCTCCATGCCTGCCTTGTGTGTGCTGACTGCTGACGTCCCATAAGCTCAACATGAGCTCCCAGGGTTTGGGAAGCATTGACAATCACCTTTTCACAAGGGGATGAGCTATAATTTTTCATAAAGCTTTAATTTTAGAGATTAAAAAGTATTTCCTAACAAGTAGTGAGAGAAGGGAAGTGCATCAGCACTAGGTGGGTGCAGCCACTCTCTGTCTGTGTACCAGGCCCTGGGTGCCTGCTGTCCCCTGTTCCCCTTCCGCAAGGACAGACTCAGCCCCTCATCAGGATTAAGGACATCCTCCTCCTAAAGTCATACTGCAACATGACCTGGTGGTTCAAGCCCCTTACTGCTGGCTCACACTGAGGGTCACTACCTTTTGACAGACCCCCAGATGTTGTGACTCCTGACCCAGGACCCCCTGCCCCTGTGTATCCACGACCCTATATTTGGCATGACTCTGCATTGAACACTCTGCAAAGCCAAAGAATGTTGAAGACCTTGCCTAGTGGAAAACGTAATGTGTTGTGTCGTTTGCTGACGTCCAATATGTTAGTCTCTACTTTTTGTGGTGGTTGTCATTTCTTTAAAAACAAGAAGCTATCTTGCATAGTGTGTCATTCCCAGCACTTAGAAGGCACGAGTAATGTAATCAGACCTGCGCAGGGAGGATGCCAGTCCTGGGTCACAGAGGGAGGACACAGGCCCACACAGGGAGGACACCAGCCTTGTAACCCTTGTTGTGACAGTGACAGTCCTCTTTTGTGCATGTCTGTTCCCCTCCATACTCCATTGCATTTTTTTTGGTGTTGTTCTCTTAATATTTCAATTTGCTGCTAAAATTCAGCTGAAAGCTTGCTTTCTCTAGGGATTAGTGCTGCTTGCTTTACTTGCTCTGTCCCCTTCTTTACTCAGCCATACTGAGCTTAATATTGTTTTTGTGATTATGACTTAGCACTACAAGAATACTGAGGAGCAGCAGAAATAAGGCTCAGGGCCCTCACACCCTCTGGATGATACCCACCCTCATAATGAATATTAAACAGTTGGTCTCCCTAGAGGCAGGGGCAGTCTGCTCTGTTCCTGGCTGTCACTTTTTAGCTAAGCACACAATTTTACACATGCTGTTTCATGTATGGCCATCATTCTTTGACCCACTTGTCCTCTGTCCCATGTCCCCTTGCTCTCCACATGGACCAGTGCTCACACTGCTACAGCCTAACATACCTCTGCCGCATTCTGCAGGCTTTCATCTCTGTAGTGTTGAGAACTCACCACTCACCTCCGTGGCTCCAGGCTTCTGAGGAGGGCTTGTTTAGGGAACGGCAGTTGGATTAGCAGACTGTGGTAGTCTTAGCTGGGGAGGGACTTTCAGGGTTGGAGCCATTGGAA